CCGGGGCCCACTCGACGGATCTGTTCGATTCTAAATCCACTCCGTAGTTCGACTCAAGTCGACGGGCGTTCGACGCAGCATCGACATGTGAGCGGAGCGAGTGGCTACAGGAAGGTCCCCAGAGGGAGCATTTGATACATCTGCTTCACGCCGGGGCTCCACCCGGCTTCTTGATGTCTATGAGGCTCATCTTCACAGACATATCATCGAGTAGGCTCCGGCTATGTGTTGCGCTTCCCCGTCGCCGTCTCGTCCAACAGAGAACCTTCGACCTTCGACTGCACATCTGTCAGTCCTCTCCACGGTCTTCCTCTTGAAGCTCTCGATGGGCGCCCCGCTGAACTCTTCGAGCTCCATTATGTCGCTGTTGTGGCAACTCCATCGTCATCCGACAGGCTGGACCAGGCCCACCCGCGGTCCATTTTGGAGTTGGGCTCCCGTGTGGCTGTGATGATTCACGCGTTTGGTGGAGGAGTCCGAACCCACCCATCCGTCGGGTGGGTCCGGTCTGGTCCGTCTGTCAAGTGCCAGCAACGGCGGTTGCCACAATATCCAAGCACTTTGTTCGGCGGCAGTCGTTGCGTCTCCTATTCTTCTTCGTCTCATGTTTCTTGCCCGCCATCGCCGTGTCGTCCACCGCGGCGTCAATTATGGCCATCTCCTGCCCAGTCTCCCTAGGCGTTCCAGGTGCCGCATCCGTCTTTTCAGCCTGGGCGTGGCGTTGGTCGCCGTTGCAACCCGTCTTCTCCAGCCCTGGCTGTGGGATCCAGTCGGTCACGTTGGACTTCTGCTCTTCCTTCACTCGAGCCCAGTTAGGGCTGAGGCAGGCGGGGCCCCTGAGCGCGTCGAAAACTGGGTCCAGCTACAACTCGGCGCTGGCGGGCGCGAGCGCATCGCCATCGCCGTCGCTCTCGCCGACCTCGTAGTTCATCCTCTTTCCCAGGTGTGTTGCCTGGACGACCGTCGGGCCTCTGGCCAGCCTGACTCGCGCTCGCTCAGCTGGCATTGGCCTTTCCGTCGTCCTTGCTCCACTCCGGCGTCCACAGGGCGCTCGAGCTCCTTTAGGCGAACAGCTCCTTACACATCCTTCTTCCCCAACAGATCGTTAGCTTCTTGGCCCTGGCCTTCTCTTTGGTCTTCTTCCAGGCCAGCCTCTTCGGTTCCGCGCTCTTTGGGCCCGCCTGCGCGCTAATTGTCCATTTCGGTAGGTTCGGGTCCCTAACTATGCACCTTTCCGTCGTGGCGTTCACGTGGGCCTTTACGTCATGGGGCGGTTGCTTCGGGCGGTGCCAGGGCGCGGACGCGCCCACTGCTAGTAAACGAGCACGGGCTCTTCCGTGGTGTGCGGCTGCGCTGGCGGCTGCGACGTGGGTTCGGCGCCTGCTGCGCAGCCAATGCTGCCACGTCCAGCTCCCTCGACGTCCTTCGCCGCCTCGGGAGGGCTGGCAGTCGCCGCCCTGTCGTAGTCCGCTTCGCTCCGCACGGGGCTCGGGCCCGCGCGCGGCAGCGCCTCTGCGTGGGTTCCATCTTCTCGATGGCCTCCCCCGCAGTTTTCGACACCAGCTCGGCAAGCCTCTTGATCAGTTCCGAGGTAAGTGCTTGCCTCTGCGTGGAGGTCCGCCGTGAGCACCTCGGGCGCATCCGCGAAGCCAGGCACGAGTCTCGGGCGAAGCCAGGCCAGGCCGAGGGTGCACAGGTGGCTCCTCGGCGCGTGACGGCGCCCATGTCTCCGCGGCACATGGCCAACACATCCACGCACATAGCACGACGCGGGTCCATTTGGCCGCCCCGCGCGGGCCACCGTGAAGATACGCGCGGGGCCATCTTTGGCTGCCCTGAGCCAGAGACTGAACATTGTCGTCGCCCTCCGCCTTGATAGATCATCTTGGCCTCTTGGGGCCTCCTGGGGGCTTCTTGGGGGCGCCTCGGTGGCCTCTACGGGAATGTTGGGGCCATCTTGGGGTGGCGAGCTCCAGATGTCAGTTCGTGTTCCTTCTTTGTTCGGCCCCTCTTGGGGCCATCTCGGGGGCTTCTTGGGCTCGTCTCGGGGGCCTCCTGGGCCCTCTTTAAGCCCCGTTGGGCTGTCTTGTGCTCTCGGGGGGGGGGGGGGGTCTCGCGCCGTCTCGTGGCGGTCTTGGAGGGTACGTGGGGTTTCGGAAGCAGGGAGGTGCGAGAAGGCTTAATTTGTCCTCACCGTCCTGTGGTGTTGAGTCTTCGTTTTGAAAAGAGTCCACGCGTTCCCCCTCTTCTCCTCTCATCCCCCCCCCCCCTCCTGCCCCTCCTTCCCCCCCTCCCGTCAGCCCCCTCATTTTGGCACGCCCCTCGCGCGATTCGTGGCCCCGTGCGGAGCCCCGCCGAAGGCCCCAAAGGCATGGTTCGCATGCCCTCCCACCACGATGAAGCTCACGAGCGGCGCCTTGATGGTTGAGAGGTCCGCCCCCGAACAGTTCCGCTTGGAATCCAAGAATCCCGTCAACATATGGCGCCACCGTTCACCCCAGCCTGAGCTTCTTGCGGAGCGTCCGCTCTTGGCCGAGGACACCGACATGTCTCTAGCAAAATACGTCGACGATCTGCTTTACTTCCGTCTTCTGCAGTCTGGTTCATTGGCTGCAGATGTTGCCCGAGTGTCTTTGGAGCAATCTATTGCTGCCGAGGTGCTGGGCTCCCACGGCTACAAGCAGAATGTCAGAAAGAGCGTGTTCTACCGCTGCTGGCGGAAAACCGGGGGGGGTCACTGCCGGTTCGAACCCCTCCCCCCCCCCCCCTCCGGATCCGGAAAACCGGGGGGGGGTCACTACCGGCGGTTCGAACCCCCTCCCCCCCCCCCCCCTGCTCATCATGAAAAGGGGGGGGGGGTCACTACCAGTTCGAACCCTTCCCCCCCCCCCCCCCTCCGGATCCGGAAAACCGGGGGGGGTCACTACCGGTTCGAACCCCCCCCCTCCTCGAAAACCGAGTGGGGGTGCGGACAGTGGTGGGGACGGTGTTGGTGGGGACAGTGGTGAGGGGATAGCGGGACAGTGGTGGGGACAGTGGGACAGTGGGACAGTGGTGGGGACGGTAGTGGTGGGGACAGTGGTGGGGACAATGGTGGGAACAGGGGGGGACAGTGGACAGTGGTGGTGACGGTGGTGGTGGGGACAGTGGTGTGGGGACAATGGGAATGAGGTGGAAACAGTGGGACAGTGGAGGGTACAATGGTGGTGGGGACAGTGGTGAAGGCGGTGGCGAGGACGGCGGTGGGACAATGGGACAGAGGTACAGTGGGGACAGTGGTGGGGACAGTGGGGACAGTGGTGGGAACAGTGGGACAGCTCAGTGGGACAGCGGAGGAGTCAGTGGGACAGTGGGGACAGTGGGGATAGTCGGGCAGTGGTTGGGGCCGTGGAGACAGTGGGGAGAGTGGAACCGTGGTGGGAACAGTTCTGGGGACAGCGGGGACAGTGCGACAGTGGTGGGGCCACTGGTGGGGACAGTAGGGGCGGTGGTGGAACCAGTGGGGACAGCGGTGGTGAGGACAGTGGTGCTGGGAACACCAGTGGGGGATGTGATGCGGACGGTGGTGGGGACCGGGAGTCGTTTGCTGGCGGTGAGTAGGGGGGGAAGGGGGGGGGGGGGGGGCGAACGAACCGGTAGTGACCCCCCCGGTTTTTGAGCGGGAGGGGGGGGGGGAGGGGTAGGGGAGGGGGGGGTTTTGCCGGGGGGGGGGGGGGGGTTCCAGCAGGGGGGCGGGGGGGATTTAGGAAGAGGGGGGGGGGGGGGGGGCGACCCCCGGGTTCCAGAGGAAAAGGTAGGCAATTTTCCACAGTAAAGCGGCGGTGGATCACGCTCTCTCATTAATGTCAAGAACCGGGTTCTCGTGCCGTGGCTCAATGGGTATCGCGATAACCGTTTGTTCCACAACGCGGACGTGGGCGGCGCCAAGGTCCTGCCTTTTTGCCAGATATCTTGGATTTTTGCCATGCCTACCGGCGCCCTCGCCCCGCAGTTGATCGCGTCAAAGAATGCAGCCACGCGTGGTCGGAGGGTTTTTTTTTTTTCCAGAAGTTCTGGAGCAGTGGCGCACCGTGGAAAGTAAAAAGGCACGTGTTCATCTCGTCGTCCAGGTTGCATTTTTGTCGGGGCTCACGCCTTTCATCTTGACCCCCGCTCGGGAGCAGGACCTCGACTCGGCCCTCCTTACGCAAGATGCGATCGATCGCCCAGGGGGCCGCCTGCGATTGGTCTGGCCCGCGCCCCAGGTCCTGGAATAGTCGTCGCACCTATGCCTGCCTCGACCTGGCCCCTGTTCGTTGCGAACTCCTGGTTCAGAGGCGTAGGTGGTATCAGAACGTGGTCTGCTGACCCGGCGATCACGCCCAGGTCCTGGCCGCCCTCTTCGGTAAGAACCAGTTCGAGGAAACCGTGACCCTGGCCAACGGTAAAACTCATCGCTGCTGCTAACCCGGTTGCTCGACGCTTTGTTGATGAGATTTCGTGCACTGGGGCCATCGCCGACATGGATGATTGGACTGGGCGCCCAGAGGGGTCTATCACTAAGTTGTGTGAGGATGAGGGTTCTCGACATCGTTTCTTGAACGCGGACGTGTCCTTTTTGTTCGGAAACTTTGGAAGCTCGGCAAGTTGGGCCCGCGGATTGATTTGGGCCCTAACCCGATGACCGACGAGGTGGAGGGGCGGGGCGATGCTGAACAGCGCTTTCGATGTACCCAGCTTGCCGACGGAGGTTGCGCATGCGGGGCCACTTTTTCTTCTCGCAAGGCTTTAACGATGCGTGACACGTGAGCCAAAGGTGGCACCAATGGCAGGGCGTCTAACTTGCTCAAGGCCGTGCTGACTAACCAGTGCCCGTGCTGCCTGCAAACATTCGCTTTTAGGCGATCTGCTAAAACGCATATTCGTGCTGCTTATCATGCTGGGACTTGCAAAGTGAGCAAGCATTGCTCATGCCGTTGCCCGATTATCGCCGCGCCCCTCGTCTGACCTTTCTGTAGAACATCTTACTGGCCCAACCTTGACCAGCTTCAGGCTCACATTCGAGACGAACGCCCACCTCCGTGTTCCGCGCGCCGCGATGCCAGAGACTGCTGCTCCGCCCCAGCTGTCGCAGACGGTTCTCAGCCCCCCAAGCCCGCCAAGTCCGACTCCAACAAAGGAGACGGAGGCAGGGGATCCAGCGGCAAACCCCGTCGCGCTGCAAAGGTCGGAACACGGGGCTCGGCGCTCTCAAGGACGCAGGATTCAATCGAAAGCAGGAAGCGCTGCTGCCAGTTCATACCAAACAAACGTTGGTTTGCAGCCGAGCAGTTCGAGATCTCTGGGCCGTGGGCGTGGAGACGTACTTCGCGGGGCCCAGCCTGCCAGAGATCGAGGAGGCGCTCGCAGCAGGCCCCCATTACTCGACCCATGTCAAACAAGGGGGTCGCGGCCGCCAGCCGGGCCCCCCTCACCTGCATATCTTCAATGGGTTCGCGAGCGCACTCTTCGAGCGTGGGGGCGCAATCGGACAGCTCAACTACGCAGAGGCCAACAAGTGGCATCAAACCTTCTACTCGCGGGCCGGCATGGATAATATTTGGAGCCAGCTCAGGCTGTTTCGACTCACCAAGTGCTACGAACAGAACAAGCAGAAGCTACACATTCATCTAGCGGACATCGGCATGACGACGCTGAGCAGCGAATCAGAAGGGCAACGCTTGCCTTCGGGCACGCGTTTGAAGCACCTGCTGGGGGCGGCCCTCATCCAGCTGGGCGCCGAGCGCGCAATCGGAGCCGCCCCCCCCGTCGGCGATGGAAGCTATGATTCAGAGCTCATGTGCCCTCTCGTGGATTGGCCTGCCGTGTCTCACTATGATGTGACTCGAAGTCAGCGACGGGAGCCCCAGTTATTTTTCATGTGCTTGCCTGGTGGGAGTCTGAGATATAGCCAGGGAAACTCGGGCAACCGTTGGACACGGCCAACATTCTGTTAGACAGATTTGTTTGACAGCAGGTCTCCGTTAGACAATTCTGTTTGACAGCAGGCCTCGCCTGGTGACTGTGACTGACTCGCTTGATGCCAGTGACCTTCTCCCGGCTCTCATTCTGGAGTCCGCGTCGTTGCTGTGGTTCATTTACGTCAATGCCTGGTTGCACCAGGCGTGAGGCCGCTTGCTGCCGCTGCCGTCGCCCTTCCCTCTCCCCTTTTTCCTCCCCTGCTGCAGTTGAATTCCGTTGCGTCTGTGCTGCCTGGGCGCCCTACTCGTCGGCGCGGTATTCCCCAGGGCCTGGTTCGGCTTGGTGGGGCCTACCTAGGCCCCTCCCAGCGCCTCCTGGATTTCCCCAGCATCGGCTGGTCGCCGAGTTAGAAATTCTTCACGCTTCGCGTATCCCCACCAGCCCATCTCAAAACAGCAACTCTTGCGAAGCATGCCGGCAGTCGTGGTTTTCAGGCGTGTTTCCGCCTGCCCCCGCATATCTCCCCTGTTCCTCCTTCCTCCCGCCTCCTTGCACATCCTCCTTGTGGTGGGAGCGGGAGAAGGACGAGGCGGAGGAGGAGGGAGAGAAAGCGGTGGGAGGCAAGAGGGATTTAGCGGAGACGACGACCACAGCGATGATCCTAACAACGACGACGCACCCGACGACGACGACGATATCGACCGCGACGACGACGACGACCACAACCGCGACGACGACGACGACGACGACGTCGACGACGACGACGACGACGAAGGCGGCGGCGGCGACGACGACGACGACGATGACGACGACGACGACGACGACTGGGGGGAGTCGTTGGGGCCCCTCGTGATGTGAGTCGTTCGGCCCCATCGTCCTTGTGTGAGTCCTTCGGGCCCCTCTTCCTGGTGTGAGTCGTTCGGGCTCCTCGTGGTGTGAGTCGTTCGGGCCCCTCGTCCTGGTGTGAACCGTTCGGGCTCCTCGTGGTTTGAGTCGTTCGGGCCTCTCGTCCTGGTGTGAGTCGTTCGGGCCCTTTTTCCTGGTTTGAGTCGTTCGGGCTCTTCGTCCTGGTGTGAGCCGTTCGTTCTTCTAGTGGTGTGAGTTGTTCGGGCCCCTCGTCCTGGTGTGAGTCGTTCGGGCCCCTCCTTCTGGTGTGAGTCGTTCGGGCTCCTCGTGGTGTGAGTCGTCCGGGGCCCTCGTCCTGGTGTGAGTCGTTCGGGCTCCTCGTGGTGTGAGTCGTTCGGGCGCCTCGTCCTGGTGTGAGTCGTCGGGCCCCTCTTCCTGGTGTGAGTCGTTCGGGCTCTTCGTGGTGTGAGTCGTTCGGGCCCCTCGTCCTGGTGTGAGTCGTTCGGGCTTCTCGTGGTGTGAGTCGTTCGGGCACCTCGTCCTGGTGCGAGTCCTTCGGGCCCCTCGTAGTAGTAGTAGTAGTAGTAGTAGTAGTAATAGTAGTAGTAGTAGTAGTAGTTGAGTAGTGGCAGTAGTAGTAGTAGTAGTAGTATTAGTAGTAGTTTACTAGTAGTAGTAGTAGTAGTAGTAGTGTAGTTCAGTAGGTTAGTAGTT